ATGACCGGGACACCGTCACAACACGACCGGGACACCATCAAAACATGCCCGGGACACCATCACAACATGACGGGGACACCATCACAACATGACCGGGACACCTTCAAAACATGACCGGGACACCATCACAACATGACCGGGACACCATCAAAACATGACCGGGACACCATCAAAACAGGACCGGGACACCATCACAACATGATTGGGTCACAATCAAAACATGATCGGGACACCATCAAAACATGACCGGGACACCAGCATCACATGACCCGGACGCCATCAAAACATGACCGGGACACCATCCGCCCACCAGCTCTGACGGTGACCCGACGGCGCCCGTCCGCCTATTAGTTTTGCAAGACCCCATAGCATGGCTATTGGGGAACAACCTTCTGCGCCCCGAAATGTCCGCGCGCTCAGTGGTTTCGATCAAAGTGTCCACCCGCCTGTGGCATCCTCTCACCCTGGGAGATGAGTCACAGGCCGACCCAAACGAAAGCAGCTCTAGATTTACATGCATCTCTCTACGAAGAGGAGCATGTTCACACCTGACCTCTTGGCTTTGTTTTATCATTTCCATACAAACGAAAGCCAGATTCGGTCACCTGATGATCTCTGAGAGCGCAACAGGGCCATCAACCCACTGGTATCCCTGGCACAAACATCTGAGTTGGATCGAGGCCTACTTTTGGAGGGTTCTTTGGCTCAATGACGGCTCTGCAATGAGAGAGGGTCTTTGGATCACCATGATCACTCTCTCGCTCTGTGGTTTCCAGGTCGTCCTTGCGTTTGCATCCCCTGAACGCCGCGGCAGCGAATTTTCCTTCACAGGGCCTCATGCTGTAGGCCGTCTAAGCCCAATCTAAGCCATCTGAGAGGAATCCACACCCAGCTTGCAGGATTCACCGGCCTTCGGCCTTTGTTGCTCACCAGAATCCCAGACAATACAGCGCTTTGTGTCAAACAAAGCCCGAGCCCCAACCCAGTGACAACGTGCAAAACATAGGAACGTCCCTCAACTGACAATACCTGCCATATCCTCCGAATCTTCCAGGGCTGGGGCTTGCAGGATGTGGTGGAACCAAAGCATCAAAGCATTCACGTGGATTCTTCTCAGCACAAAGTGAGAAACTCCCAACATCTATGGAGTCGAAGGCTCTGCTGTTTTCAACTGAGCCCGGCTATCACCCATCGAAACATGCGCGGAGTCGAAGCCTCAGGGCGCCGATTGTGAACGTTCGGTGCCGAACCCAAGGCGCGACCAAGTACCCAGCGGTTCGAAATTTTGGCCACGGTGGTCATCTTTGGTAAAGAAGGGTAGCAGGCTTGGAAAACCACGCCATGATATACAATGATCTCAAAGTACTATAGAGAAGACTCTGAGACTGTCAGCAGACACAAAACAAAGAGTTGAAAAAGAAACTTGGAGATGCTACATCTTTGCACTCTCATCTCTCAAAATTCAATTCTGAGTCTTCATGGCAGTTCTATCCAACAATGTTGGTGCTTCCTTTCCAAACACGCCTTCCCCTGTCCCTTTTTTTCCACCCTTCCCCTTCCCTTCCACTGTTCTTGGAACTCGGCAGGACTAGTGTGTCAGGCCCTGCGGAAAAGTGACTGGTCAGCAGGTGAGCGTCCAGCAGGCAAACCCAAAACAGCGATGATGCTTTGAACAAATTCTTTGGTTCAGGGGTCCCTTTCTCACCGAGGAACTGCCCAGATTGATCAGGAGGCCTCGCGTGATTCCAAGTCCAATCAACCATGGATGTAAAGGGGGGCAATGATGGAAGAGGAGCTCCTTGGCCAAGTGTTCTGGTCTATATATATTGGTTGAAGTGCACATTGTTTGGTCGCACGACGAAGCAGGCATTCTGATGGCCTGGTTAAGTCTTAACTAATTTGGGAACCTGAGCGATTTAGACACCCCTGCATAAGTGGTGGTGAAGGTGGAGTAGAAAAGGTTGCAGTTGGTACCCCTCTGTTCCAAGATCCAGGCCAAAAAGCACGTCGAAGATCTTCACAGAAATTCAGAATAGACTCTGAACATGATGAGACGGCTTCAGCTTTTTCAGCAGCCCAACCCGCCCAACCCTCACCTCCTGCAATCGCTCTGATGCGCCACACAGGCCGCGCACCTCTCTATCTTGCTCATTGGCAAAAGTACTGGGCTCCGCCACCTGCTGGGCACATGCAACACGAGGCTGGTAGGTCGTGTAGGTCATCTTGTTTAAAGTGGTTTGGGGTTGCTTCGCCACGCTGCCCGGCGCACCCGCATGGGCACATCTCCAATCGCTGAGCTCGGAGCAGATCCTGGAGGGCAATGATGCTGATGCAAAATCCAAAGAGACATCAGGACAAAAATGCAAAACAAAGCCAAGGCCAAGTTGAGTCTTCTCAAACTTCCTCAGAACTTATCTGAGCCATGGTCAAAACTAGTTGCACGGCCTATTCTTGCCTAGCGATGTCGAGACTTCCCTATCGTTTTTACCGGCAACGGATGTTCGGACAAGGGCACAACACACCTATAGCTAGTGAAAGAGACCCGCGTCAGTTTACATGCACTGCAAGAGAGCTCTTGGACAAGTCTTTGTGCCTAAACTGGGAGAGTGGCTTCCCATACAATACCGAGCTATCATGCAGCTACCTTTCGTTTATGATTCTAGGCACGCTCACACACTGCCACAATTCCAGAAGCCGAGTAAGTCACAAACATAGGCTATCATTTTCTGTGGGTCCCCTATCATTCTCAAGGGTTTTGAGAACTTCCACAAAACAAGACATCCAAAAGGAGCTGCTTTTACCAATGAAATTTGAGTGACCCACGGCCAGACCAAGCACACATAGAAGCTTCAAGAAGGCTCTGGGAGGCTCGGAGTGGCTCAAATCTCGGGTCACTCTGATCGCCACGGGACAAACTGCACTTGAAAGCTCCTGCTAGACAGGTCAATTTGTTGGAGTAACAATACATATGTTCTGGGTGCTTTCATCTCGGCTGAATACAAAACACTGGATCCACGAGCACCACACCACACCACAACCCCTCCTGGAGTTTTACACGAGGGCTTCTTCGACCTCGATTGGAGCTTTACACAGCTCCCAATCTCAAAGGCCTACGGGGAAATTGATTGCATAGCCTGGCGATTCTCATTGACCCCTGGATACCACAACAATCTCCAAACACATCTTTTTCGCAGCTCCCAAAACCGCGGTCAGGTTTCGGCCTCCAGTTGTGAAAAGAAAGGGGTGCCTCCAATGCGCGTTTGTTGTCGGACTCAAAGTGACGGGATCCACACCATGGCCGACGAAGCAGCACCCTCTGAGAGGCCCAGCAAGACACCATAGGCCTGCTCTTGGCCAGGAAATTGTGTGACCACCTGAGCAAAGCGGCAAAACAGGACCCATGTGTCCACCTGACATGTAGAGGAGTGTGAACTTTAGTGCTGCTCATGCACAAATCCTGCACGGCATGGACATCATTATATATATATATATAGTTGTGGAAGACTGTCAAGTTGCCTTCAGTTCGTGTGACAGTGAAGCCCCCTGCATGTTGTGTGGCGTTCCCACCCGTCTGCCTTTGCCTTCAAACCTCAAGAGAGTGCCTTTGCGAGAAAGCCTTTTTCATGCCGTCTCCTATGGGTCTCCTTCATCTCTTTTCCTGGGGCGATCACGGGACTGTTGGAGAGGCCTCGGGCAATCACAAACAAACAAAGCCATGAAGCACATGTGGAGATCATCAAATCACATGGTCTATCCGATTATCCTTCAGCTCCTTCCTCCCCTCGAACGGAAACTCCACCCCCCAACAGCTCCGACTCCCTGGACAGCAAAACTCGCGGGGCCTTTGTGCCTTTGCCCTGCACCATTCATTGACCAGGGCGCCTGCGACCAAAACCGAGAGACACGCAGTCCACCACGCACCGCGACGCACCGCGACGCACCACGACGCACCACGCAACACGCAACACGGACCGAATGACGCAATGATCCCTGTGCCTTGGCCGTCTTTTTAAACGGAAATCCCGACAAACGGTTAGCTTCCCTCGTGTTTTAGGGGTCACACCAGTCAAGAGAAAGAAACAAGTTCATTGGGTTCGCGGGGTTCCGGCCAATCGGGCGCTGAACCATCGCTATGTTCGCGGAAACGGGTCGTGTTCACCGTGGTGCCTGCGGTGCCCGGTGTGGCGTCGGCGAGAGTTGCGACACCGGCTTTCGTAGGTCCTCCGGCAGAGTTGGAGCCTTTCCAGTTGAAATAAAGTGGTTACCCTATAGAATTATATACAAACCAGGCAGAAATCTATAACAAAAAACACCGAGGAGCAGAGCCTAACGTTAGCTGTCCTGGCTCGGCCGTAAAATGTCTGCATGCCAAGTCGAGCCTGACAGACAATGATTCTGAGAAAGAAACGCTGGTCTTGGGAACATCAAAAGTCGGGGAGCAGCTGAGCATTGTCCACAAATTCAAACCATTTGGACCTACCCCAACAAAAAAGCAAACTCGGCCAGCCTGGCACTGGGGGGCCGCCAAAGGCATGCTTCTCGCAACCTGCACCCCACACGAGGACACTAATATCCACAGTTCAACACAGGTGTCTTTTTGTTGAAGTGTGGAACTCGAAGGACCACCAGGAGAAACTCAACACCTTTGGTTCTTTTGGAAACCAATTTGAAGTCAACTTGTGACGATTTTGTCTTCTCACATCGTGAGGCATCCCGCTCACGCCTCGAATTTCTTCGACACCCTGAGCACCGCCGAACCCACCGGGTTCACCCGCCTGCGTTCTCCGCGGCTCTCAAGGCCTCAACATCCGGGACGTTCGGAAAGTTGGGACCTTTTTCGCAGTCAACCTGTCGATCTGACCCACAAATGAGAGAAGGTCTCCCAGTAAAACGTGAACTAAAGCCACGCAACACAACCATCCCCCCAAACCCAAAAAAAACCGAAGACTCCTCACTTCTCAAAGCAAAAGGTGCAAAAAAAACAAAAGCACAAAACGCCTCATCCAGGAGCTGCATCGCCCGCGCAGCTTGCTGGTTCCGCTCCTCCAACGTTTGGACCTGTACTGCTCAAACATTCCGGTGGCTCGGAAAAAATTAAAAAACATGCTTCCTAGAATGAGAGATCCATCGAAGCATGTTTCCCCTCCGCGTGTCTGAGGATCTCACTGCGTCGTAGGCGTCAATGAAGGAGGAATCCAAGTGGCGCCTCAGCGTCTTCGGCTCCGGAGTCAAAGACCGAGAACCTACATCTGTCTGTGTTTGTGTTTTTTTGGCATGCCTTTTGCGCTAGGAATCCAAACCCACCAGTCTTCTTTGGTAGGATCACGAAACGCGGTCTATTTGGGGGATCACTAAACCTTCTTTGAGTTGGAAAAGTTTGGAGACTTTAGGCCCAGGCTCATGGTCATCCGCTTTGGAACTAGACTGTGCCTTGGCGACTGAGTAGGTCGAAACTCAAGATGTTGAGTTTGCCCAGTTGGGGCTATTCTCTCTATGCTAGAGGAGTTCGCAGTGATGTTGCTTTGGGAATGCAAAACCACTCGGTTGCGCTTCTCCATTGTTCACTTTTCCCGAAAACACAGGTGAAGGGTTCCCATAAAGAACAGTTGCCAACTTCAACAGTTCCATCATCACCATCATCATCATGATGATCATCATCATCATCATTTTTTCTTTCATACGCTCATCAGTCGATGATTGCGTGGACCCGATTGGTCCCATCTGGCGCCCCGTAGGGCCTGTAGCCTCAGCAACTCAGCTAGACTACGGTCTAGCAGGCTAGCAGAGAGCCCGCCTGCAAACAGTTGACCGCAAAAACCAAATGCTAAAAATGAAAACTGTCTCAAGCACGTACAGCGTGGTCCTCATTGAGGCCAATGCTGAAGGTTTTGCAGCATACCACCTTGGGTGTGCTGCCTTGTGAGATCCCGGCTCAGTCGGCAGGGGTCCCGTAGCCACCCACCATGTCCAGGGCGTCGCAACCAGCTGGGGGTTCCACACAAGATGTGCAAGTCCAGCCGTGCAAGGTCCGGTGTTCATGGTGTCATGAATGATGTGGATCTTTGCCTCCTGGTCAATCAGAATGGCAGTTTCTTCCTCCCAGGCGACCAAGAGAAGCACTGACAGCCTGGTTGTCTCGTGATCACCGTCAGCTTCTTGTTCCTAGTAGTACGGCCAGGAGCCCCTAGTAGCGTCCTTGCTCCTAGTAGCGATGCACTTGTTACTAGTAGCTTCTTGTTCCTAGTAGTACGGACAGGAGCCCCTAGTAGCGTCCTTGCTCCTAGTAGCGATGCACTTGTTACTAGTAGCTTCTTGTTCCTAGTAGTACGGACAGGAGCCCCTAGTAGCGTCCTTGCTCCTAGTAGCGATGCACTTGTTACTAGTAGCTTCTTGTTCCTAGTAGTACGGACAGGAGCCCCTAGTAGCGTCCTTGCTCCTAGTAGCGATGCACTTGTTACTAGTAGCTTCTTGTTCCTAGTAGTACGGACAGGAGCCCCTAGTAGCGTCCTTGCTCCTAGTAGCGATGCACTTGTTACTAGTAGCTTCTTGTTCCTAGTAGTACGGACAGGAGCCCCTAGTAGCGTCCTTGCTCCTAGTAGCGATGCACTTGTTACTAGTAGCTTCTTGTTCCTAGTAGTACGGACAGGAGCCCCTAGTAGCGTCCTTGCTCCTAGTAGCGATGCACTTGTTACTAGTAGCTTCTTGTTCCTAGTAGTACGGACAGGAGCCCCTAGTAGCGTCCTTGCTCCTAGTAGCGATGCACTTGTTACTAGTAGCTTCTTGTTCCTAGTAGTACGGACAGGAGCCCCTAGTAGCGTCCTTGCTCCTAGTAGCGATGCACTTGTTACTAGTAGCTTCTTGTTCCTAGTAGTACGGACAGGAGCCCCTAGTAGCGTCCTTGCTCCTAGTAGCGATGCACTTGTTACTAGTAGCTTCTTGTTCCTAGTAGTACGGACAGGAGCCCCTAGTAGCGTCCTTGCTCCTAGTAGCGATGCACTTGTTACTAGTAGCTTCTTGTTCCTAGTAGTACGGACAGGAGCCCCTAGTAGCGTCCTTGCTCCTAGTAGCGATGCACTTGTTACTAGTAGCTTCTTGTTCCTAGTAGTACGGACAGGAGCCCCTAGTAGCGTCCTTGCTCCTAGTAGCGATGCACTTGTTACTAGTAGCTTCTTGTTCCTAGTAGTACGGACAGGAGCCCCTAGTAGCGTCCTTGCTCCTAGTAGCGATGCACTTGTTACTAGTAGCTTCTTGTTCCTAGTAGTACGGACAGGAGCCCCTAGTAGCGTCCTTGCTCCTAGTAGCGATGCACTTGTTACTAGTAGCTTCTTGTTCCTAGTAGTACGGCCAGGAGCCCCAGTCCACCAGATTCCACCGTCCAGGATGGCAGTGCAGTGGTGTCAGTAGTGTCCGATGTTGGCCTCCAAGTCAAGATGAAGAGTGTCACCTCCTTCCCACCATGGCCGGCGCGCCACCTCCGGGTGAGAGGTGGAAGCCCGTGGCCAGCTGCCACATAGGATGCACTTCTCAAGAGTTGTCAACAAACATGTTGGTGTCCAAGATATCCAGCCCAGGCATCCATTGTCCAAACCAGTTGCCGTAATTGGTTTGGGCATAGGTGATGTCCCACACAGTGTCCAGATCCGCCAAGATGGGGGGTTCCTCCTCACTCGGAGTGACCTTCTCGGCACTTCTGGGGGAGTGCAGTGAATCCACCTCAGACAACAATTCGCCTGACCACCAGTGGAAGCGTTGAGAACTTGACCAGGTGCCTCCGTCCATGATGGCAGTGCAGTAGCGGCCACTGGAAACTTCCAAGCCCAGGTGCAAGGGGACACCAAGGACCTGGTAGGGAATGTTGTCAACCTCCACCTGTAGGTCCAAGAAGAGAAGAAACCCAACATCTTCCTGCCTGGAACGGTTGGCCCCCGGACACTGGAAGTACAAGCCACATGGCCAGCTACCATACAGCATGCCCTGTTCCGCTAGCCTTGGACGCAAGCCCTTGATGAACCAGCATCCATTTTGCTAGTGTATTGGACAGTCTCGAATGAACCTGATCTTGTTGTCTCAACTTCCATGTGGGCATGCACCCCATTGAAAGGAATTCCCATAGGGTACAAGTGACCGCCATGCCATGTGGATTCATGAAGAAGAACTGGTTTGAGGGCACTAAGGATGTTTTGCTGGGATGAGGCTGTATGCCATCCAGATGTATCCGTTGAGGTCCTAGGCCACTTGGCTTCGCCGTAATGGGGCATGAAGAGCCTGTGTTGAGATGGCTCCACCGAACCTCGTGGCAGGTCCGGAACCCTCAGGCCACCAGGGTGGATCTAAGGGATTCAAGATCCTCTGGTTGTTCACAAAGTAGGCCATGAGGAGACCTGCAGCGCAATGAACCGGTAGGCCAAGTCCAACCCTGTTCGGGGACTTGGGACCCCGGTGAGCGGAATGTGAAGTCCCCGCGGGCGCCACTGAGCTCGGTGACTTGGGTCTTCGCCAGGTGCTCGTGGAGCTGTTCTTGTAGGTGAAGGTCTCCCATTGGAGCCAGATGTTAAAGACAGTCACCGCCACAAGGAGCAGGATATAGTACCTGAAGAGGTAATCGGGGAGCTCCAGGATGGAGAGTTCGTGTTCTTGGTGTCCCGCAGAATGCTGGGCATAGGTCCTGTAATCGAGGATCTCAATCATCGTGGGATTCTCCTTTGGGTTGCCCATGTGTGCTAAGACGGGTCCGCACCATCCCCCGGTACCGCGGGCAGTGGGGATTGAACCGCTCACGGCCCTTATCATCATCATCACCATCATCATCTTCTTCTTCGTCGTCATCATCATCAAGTTGGAGAGATGCAGACGATGCACATAACTGTTACAACACACCGTTATCATCATTATTATCATCACCATCACGATCATCAATCTCATCGTCGTCACCATCATCAAACAGGTGCAGAGATGCAGGTGATGCACCTGCTACAAACACACCTATATACATAGATACAGGCGTTTGGTTGAGATACAGGTGTTGAGCTACAAGCGAAAGAAACCTGCGGAGATCGTGTGCGTCGAGTCCTCAAACGTGAGGCGGGTGCGAATTTTGTCTGTGCTCTGTGACCCTTTTGCGGAGATCGCGCGCGTCGGAACCTTTTGCGGAGATTGCATGTTGAGTTGCCAAAGTGCAACCATCTTCAAAAATCAAGGTGAAGTTGTCAAATTGTGTAACTGTAACTGTCGTGAAAATGAAGGTGGACGTTGCCAAAGTGTGTAGCTGCCGTCGAAAAATCAAGGTGGAAGTTGTCAAAGTGTGCAACTGTCGTCAAAATGGTGGGCGTCGCGTTGAAAATGAAGGTGGACGTTGCCAGTGTGTGCAACTGTCGTCGAAACAAACTGTCGTCGAAAAGCAGCTTCTGGTAGCTGGCCTCAGAACTGGCAGTATAGGACGAACGTAGTCTCAGAATTGGCAACTTTGCAATACAAATGTAGCACGGAAAGCAGCCTGCAAGGTGTGGCCTCAAGAAGTACTACAAATGCAGTGCGGGCCTGGCTTCGGGAAGGGACAACATTGTCGCGCTAAGGCAGTGCGGGAAGCTTACACATCCAGTACGGGACACGCCTTATGGGAGCCTGGTGTTACGTTAAGCGTGTTTGTGTCGCTCTGTGCCATTGGGAAACGACAAGCATGCGTGCGTAAACGCAGAGTGTCGCTGGTGTTACATTAGTGTGTTTAGTCAGTGGCACACCGCGTGGCGAAGTTACGTCTGTGATGTCGCTATGCCATGCGGCCTCGGTGGAAAGTCTGTTTTCGTGGCTCCCCACCATTGGGAAACGAAAAGCACGCGTGCGTAAATGCGGCGTGTAGCTGCAAAGCCGGATGATTGGCGGTGTCAACAAGGCTTGGTGTTACATTGTTGGATCTAGTTAGTGGCGCACAGTGTGGCGAAATTACGTCTATGATGTCGGTGTGCCATGCAGCTTCGCGCCGCCTCAGTGGAAAGTGCGTTTGCGTGGCTCCGTGCCATCGGGGAACCGGAAAGATGGGTGCGTAAACGCAGCGTGTCACTAGTCGGGATAATAAGCGGCGGCTTCGTAGAAGAGTGCCCTGCAAAGGTTGCCCCACAAGAATGCCTACAAGAGCGTGCCATTAGAGTGCTCTACAGTGTCCCACGACAAGAGTGTCCTCACAACTGTCTTACACATGTCAAGCAAGAGTGCCAAACAAAGAGTGTCACGCAAGAGTGTCCTACAAGCGTGTTTTACAAGAGTGTCCCACAATGGTGCACTGTCCTACAAGAGCGTCCCTGCTAGAGTGTCGTACCTGAGACCACCACAGGCCCCACATGTATATCTTGAGAGTATCACAGTATCACCTTTACTTTACCTTGGCAATAGTGCCATGGTCCATAATCATCATGGCCGTCGTCGTCATCGTTACGTTGTGTCATCTCCTACTGTGCATACTATGCCCAAGCCTGCTGCGTTCAATGGGCTGCTCTGATGTCACAACAAGGGCATTTCTCAACGGCCACCTACTGTACCACCTAAACACCGGGAGGGCTCTGACTCCTCAACAAGACCTGGCCCTCTTCTTGGAGCACAGCTGCATGCACCACAGCTCCTGCCCCAACAAATGAAGCTCTGACATCAAGCAACTATTTGATGTACACAAATGGTGGAAGCAACAAGAAGGGTTGCGGGTCAAAAGCATAGATTTGGCAAGTGGGTACATAGTAGTATGTATTTAGAGGCACTCATATGTGCGTCCTTCATTTTGTGGACTGCTTGAAGGCAGCCTTAGCTGCAATGCCACACCAACTGCTGGACTGTCAGCAAGCATGCATCATTTTTCACTAGCTTGGGACAGCGCTCTTGGCAAGGAGTGCTCCAAGAGTGGCAAGAGCCTCACAGGCGAAGATGGAAGGATGCAATCAGCGGCA